GGTGAGAGCCCGCGCCGCGGCCGCGCCCCCGGCCCCAGCCCTCGGGGCCCGGCTTTCCCGGGGGTCGGGCCCGCAGCCCTCACGGGCCTCTGTCTGGTCTCCCGCAGGTTCTAGCGCGCGAGCACGCCTCGCAGAGACTCTTCGCCGACAAACTTCCCCAGCCCCTGGAAGACGGTGAGTGTTGCGCGGCTGCCCCTCCTCGCGTTCAGCCTGACCCGGGGCGTCGCCCCCAGATGCAGCCCGGCGCGGGGAAAGCGGCGGGGTGGGGGGTGGGGGGTGGGGGGCGGGTTTCCCGGGCGCCACGGGCTCGAGTCACTTCCGGTGCCCTGACCTTTATAGGAGTAAACAGACCCCCGCCATCTCCGCCTCCCTCCCGCCCAGGTGACTGCCTGACTCCAGAATCCCCCGCTTGGCTGAGACAGCGGTGGCCTGGGCTCCTTGGCTGGAGGGCGGGGTCGCAGCCCAGCTGCCTAGGCGACACAGAGTGCTGCCCCCAGAACTTGTCTCAAACTTGAAGGGGACCCTTTGGAGAGCCCTACTTTTCTCTCCGGAGCTGACAGCCGGAGCAGCTGCCGGGTTGGTGTCTGACCCAGCTGTGCTTTTTCCAGGCTTGAAGGCCCCGGAGTGCGCCAGCGGCATGTACAAAGAGACCGTCTACTCCGCCTTCAATCTCCTCATGCACTACCCGGCCCCCTCGGGCACGGGGCAGCACCCCCAGTCGCAGCCCCCGCTGGTAAGTGGCCCCAGCAGCCAGTGCCCATCCGGTGCCTGCTGTCTCGCTGACCAGGTAGGTGAGGCATGGAGGGGCAAGGAGTGGCTTTTGCCGAGGAGGAAATGGATGAGAATTCTGCTGGGCCCTCCTGGGCGTACTACCCCCAGTGAGATTTGAACAAAATGGGAGAGCTTTGCTGAAGAAGGAAGCCTGCCTTCGATCACCCTGACTGAGTGTGCTTGAGCCCAGAGCTTTACATTTCGCTCTGCAGGGAAGCCCAGAGCTGCACTGTTGGAGGGACGCGCAGAAAGTGTTCAGGAGAAACGTGGTCCCCTGAACTGTGCCCATGTTGGCGGCACCAGTGTGACCTTGTCGAGCAGGAATCTGCCCTCCATGTAGGTTTCAAGGAGGCTGACATGGTCTCCATGGCCAGAAGGGATTTCAAAAATGTGCATCTGATCAGTGGGGTTGGCGAGGAGCCGATGATTTTGTGAGTTAAATCTTTTAAAGTACCTGGGCTTTGAAAAGATCTCAGGATCATCACAAACTACATTTTTTTTTTTTTTTTTTTTTTGCGGAACTGGGGATTGAACTCAGGCCCTTGTGCTTGCCAGGGAAGTGCTTATTCCACTGAACCATCTCCCTGGACCCTACAGACTACACTTTTTATTCAGTGGTACAAATAATACAAAGAGTGAACCTGGTGTGGTGCACACCTATCATCCTAGCACTCAGGAGACCGAAACAGGAAGATCTCAGAGTCTGAGGCTAACCCAGGTTACATAGTAGACTATGCCTCTAAAGAAAATAGACAACAACCACACTCCATAAAGTATGAAGAGCTTATTCTTAATGTTTTAAAGGGCTGGGGAGATAGCTCAGCGCTCAGCAAGCTTAAGTGTCTGCCTATCAAGCGCAAGGTCCCAAGTGTGATCCCCAGTACCCCGCCCCAAATCTGAGTGTTTCAAAGCAATAGAGCTGCACTTTTGTTTTTTTTTTTTTTTTTTTTTTTTTGGTGGAACCGGGGATTGAACTCAGGTCCTAGTGCTTGCCAGGGAAGCGCTTATTCCACTGAGCCATCTCCCCAGCCCCGAGCTGCACTTTTTGTTTAAAAAAAATTTCTTGCTAGTGATTCAGACTGGTTAGTGTGAGGATGGCAGGAGGTCTCGAGGTGGATGTAAGATCAAATGTAGCCCAGCACAGGTAGACCGCAGGAGACCTGGGCACTGGTGTACCCCAAGAGGGAGGAGAGGGTCACTACAGAGCTGTTTCAGACCAGCTGTGCTGAAGGTGGTTCTGAGAGCTTTTTCCTGCTGATGCCGGGCAGAGGGGAAAAGACAGCTGCCCAGTGGCTGTCCAGAGCCCAAGAGAAAAAGCAGGGTAGTTGGTTAGCTCTTGGAAGGGACACCTTGCCCCTTGGACCATGTGAGAATGGTGGCTGTGGAATGGTTCTCTGACTCTGCCCCAGGGTGGCTTGGTGTCTGAGCTGTTGCCCTTCCATTTGAGTCTGTGAGGGTTGAGCTTTTTTTTTTTGAGGAACCGGGGATTGAACTCAAGCCTTTGTGCTTGCCAGGGAAGTGCTTATTCCACTGAGCCATCTCCCTGACCCTGGGGGGTCGAGCTTTGATCCCACCCTTGCCCCCTCAAGCAGCCACTTTCCGGAGGCCTGTGCCCTGCACTAGTAGGTGCTCACTAGAGGATTTTTGGGATCCCCTGCCAGGTATAGACCCTTGGCATTGGGGCCAGCTGACACAACCCTGCCTTTCTGTGCTGTGGACAAGGCAGGCTACGCTTGGTGTGGACCTGGGTCACCATGGTGACTGACCAGCGTGGAGGCCTAGGCCTGAGAAACTTCCTGGCAGGGCTAGAAGAAAGCAGTGCTCCTCGGGTTAGGCAAGGGAGTGCCCAGACCAGGGAGGACATCCTGTTGCCATAAGGTGTGGGTGACAAAACCACTTGTGTCCTTTGACCCACCCTGGTCAACAAGCAAACAAGTGATGGACCCCATAGTCAGCACTAGCACGCCCACCTGGCCGGGGTCATGGAGTTGGCAGCTTTAGGTCTCGCCCAAGCTGCAGCAGATGCCCATCTGGGTGTCGCGCCTTCTCCTGCCCCAGCACCCAGCTGCTGGACCTGGGAAGAGCACTCAGCATCAGCTGAGGTCACCATGCTGTGCCCTGCTTCGGCTGCTCTGTGGGCTGGGGATGGGGTGGAGGCAGGGGCCGATGTTGGAGTGGCCCTGGGTGCGTGAGAGGGAAGGCAATTTGGGGTCATCTTCTAAACCTGATAATTGCATTTCTAGGGACTGAACCCAGGGCTCTCCCAATGAGCTAAATTCCTGGTCCTTTTGTTTTCTTAATTTTTTGTGTTGAGGCAGTCATAAGTGGCCCTTGCTGGGTTCAAACATACAGTCCTCCTGCCTCATTCTCCCATAGTACTGGGATTACAGGTATGCACCATCATGCACAACCGATCAAAATAGATTGACCTGTTTTGGAAGCACGCTTATCAACTGGTTCCAGGCTTACATTTCTGGATCCAGGAAAGATCCGCTTCCAGGCAGCCAAGACCTTTTCCCAAGATCTCCAGAAAATCTGTCTTGGGAAGTTCATAGTGTACCCTTTCTCACACTCATCAGAGGTGGGCAAATGCAGGCACCTTCTAGCCCTTGCTCACAGGCCACGTCCTGCAGCCCCTTTGCCCTCTTGCCAGCCAGCCCTGCCTGGGGGTGTCAGGTGGCCAGCGCTGGAGCTGAGATGCTCAAGACCAATCACTGGGGCCTCCCCGCAGCAGGAAGACCCAGCCCGAGACCTTTTTTGGTCACGTGTGGGTTGGATGGCCGTGTAGCTGCCAACCTGGAGAACCCTGAAGTCCACCTTAGAGTCGCCAGAAGGAACGGCCTACGTGCCCAGCGCATAGCCAGCTGCCACGGTGCAGAGGGAGCTTTCCCACGAGGTTGCTTTTGTGGTGCTGGACTTGGAAGGTTTCTTTTGGGAGAGGGAAATTAGGTCAGAGTTTGTTCTGTGACTGGTGCTTTTCAGGCACGTAACATAGGCTCGTAGGCAGTTCCGGAAGAAGACCAGTAACCATTGTTTTTTGTTTTGCTTTGTTTTGTTTTCTCTGCTGTGAGACGTGGGCCTGGGCAGAGCGAGAAGCAGGTGGGCTAGCTTTAGGCTGGACTTGGGGGGATTCTGGGCTGTGTGAGATGTCACTGCTTAGGGAAAACGGAGACTGCTGTGTATGCAAGTCTGTGGGGGCTGGGCACAGTGTGGCCCCTTGTGTGGGCTCCACTTGGGGTCTGTGGCCTGGAAGGGTGCTGAGCCTTTTGCCATTTAGACAAAACATACAGAATAGACAGATCCATAGAGACAGGCAGCAGAGTGCTGGTTGCCGTGGCGGAGGGGGCGCAGAGCAGCATGCAGCGCCCTTGCTAGTGGATGCAGGGTTTCGCTTTGGGGTGGTGCCGGCCGACGTTCTGGAATCAGATAGTGGTGATGGTTGCACAATCTGACACATATACTAAAAGCCACTGAAAAGTACACTGTAAGATGGTGTGTTTTGTGGTGTGTGAGCTGCATCTCACGTTTTTTTTTTAGGCTGAGGTTTGGGGCCATGGCAGGGGTTGGGGCTGTGTTTCTGTCCCTGAGCCCCACGCATCGCGTTGCCTGGGTAGGCCCCGCCGGGACTTGGGGGCTGCTCCAGTGTGGGGCGCCTAGGGAAGCGTTAGGTTCCTGCTCAGGCTCATCCCTGAGCCCCCAGATTGACACCAGGTGAGGACTGTG